ATAAGTTAATTCAGTGCTGAACTTTCGGGTGGCGGGCATGCCCGATGCTCAAAAATTTTCAGGCACTTCGGGCAGGCCACTGTCGCCGTCCGACCACGGTTTTCTTCGGGCACGGGCTCGGGTAGCCCGAAAATATTAATCCCCCCGACAGCCCGCCGCCGTGGAGAAGCCGTCCCCCGCCGTTCGCCGGATTTTTTTTGAATTTTCCGGCAATACCTGAAGCTGCCCGAAAACTACCCGAATTTGTGCCCGAACTACCCAAATTTCTGTGACCGTTGCCCGAATTTTTGTAACCGTTGCCCGATTTTTGCCCGTTGCCCGAAAAATGCCCGTTTTTTTGTTACCATTAGCCCGAAAATATGCCCGAATTTTGAACAAACGGGTCTTTTTGCCCGAACCCGAATTTTTGAACCAAACGGTCAGATTTTGTACCGTTGCCCGACCTGCCCGATTTTTGCCCGAACTGTCCGAAAAATTTGTAGCCGTTGGACCCGAATTTTTGGGGAAAAATTTTTTTTTTTCAACCCAAAAATTTTCCTATAAATCCCCCCCCTCCCCCCAACCATTTTCCTCACCCCAAAACTCCTATTCTTTCTCAATTTCTCTTAATCTCTCTCAAATCTCTCTTAATCTGGCTTAAATCTCTCTCGAATCTCGATTCTCTTAAGCTCTCTCAAAGCGCTCTCAATCTCTCTTATTTTTCATAATGGCTTCTTCTGGTTATGGTGGGGATATTCCCATTGATGCCCAATTCAACATCGAAGAAGGGGAATTTCCTAATGTTTTTCAAACGCATGAATCGCAAACTATGGAAAGAGTTGCTGATGAAACTGCAAATCCAACCCCTGGTGGACGTACTAGAGGTCGGGGACGCAATGGTGGTGGCACAAGTGGCCGCGGAGGAGAGGCAAGCGGTAGTGCTAGTGCAAGTGTTGTAAGTTCTAAGAAGAAATGCAAGCGCACCTCAGCAGTTTGGGAGCACTTCAACACATTCGAGGACGTCGATAATAATGGTAACATTAAATACGTAGCTTAATGTAAATATTGTGGTGAGAAATTACAAGGTAACACTATTCACGGCACTACACACTTAAGAAGGCACTCTGAAAAGCGTCTTCAAAAGTAAGGAGGCGGAGCTGATCTCCGTCAAACGCAATTATCGTTTGACTGCCAAACCGGCGGTCTAAGCACGTGGAAATACAATCCACAAGTTGATCGTATGGAAATGGCACGATTAATAGCCACATTAGATCAACCACTAAGTTTTCCTGAACAAAGAAATTGGCAACGTTATATTAAAATTGTACATAATCCTAATGCACAATTTTTTTCTAGAACTACTCGTAGGAAAGATGCATTAAAATTATATAAACAATAAAAGGAAGTATTAATCAACCTTCTACACTCTACTAGTGGTTGTGTTGCGTTAACGGCGGGTATTTAGTCCGCCGTTGCCAACAAGGATTATTTAGCTATAACCGGACATTATTATAAAGGTTTTGATTTGGATAAGAGAATCTTAGGTTTCAAATGTGTTATAGGATCACATACTGCCAATTTAATATATAACACAATTTTATCTGTTATTGATGAATATAGTTTAAGAGATAGAATAATGGTCATAACATTAGATAATGCAACTGCGAATACTAAAGCAATAGAACTTTTTGAAAATGATTTAAGTTTATTCAGTAATAATGATATTTTCCACCAACGTTGTGCATGTCATATAATTAATTTAATAGTAAAGTCCGGTTTAAAATCAATGTCAGGTCATATTAAAAGAATTAGAGATAACATTGCTTGGATTCAAGGTACTAATCAAAGAATACAAGATTGGTTTAGATTTCTACAAGCATGTAATCAAAATC